TTTTTATTCTTTATGTGAGTTCTTTTGAGGACTTTTTATTTCTTGAAAAATTCGTCGGAGCGACAGTTCTTTCTTTTTTGATGTTTATATCTTTGCAATTTGGATTGTGATATACTTTGATCAGAAAGAAGAGTGCAAAGCTACATAATTAACCGAACCGTGCGAGTTGCGCTCTCGCGAATGCTACAAACCGAGTGGCTTGCGAATGACCTCGTTTTAGGAAAAAGAAACTTATCTTCAGTACGTTACAATAAAAAAAAAGGAAGATTGTAAATATAGTTTAATATACACAAGTCGATATAAATACTTTATATAATAGTAACGAGAAAAATGATATTGCTATGGAAAATACTATACTAACTGAACATAAAATAGCCCGAGCGAGAAAGAAAGAGAAAGGAGGACGTTTACTAGATATAAGTAAATTTTATATCAGTGGTGCATTAAAAAGCATCGCCATACGTCGCCAATTCCCCGCGATCGTGGAAGACATGAAAATTTACATGCTAAAATCAGCAACGAGACGCGCACGACCGTGATGAAAGCGTGCGAACGCGTGTCTTGTCGGAAACAACGCTATTTCCGGATACAGGCATATATACACAATATCGTGTCTCTCGCTGCTATTCTCTATTTTGTAATCGATCTCTTCGTGTTCGTCGCTTTTAAGTTTCAACGATCGAAAATGCAATGCGTGAGTCACACGTTACGCCACACACTCCTACATTTAAGTTCAAAATCAATGTGTAACGCTCATCAACATTTATTTGATATTTCTATTCTAAGTAAATTAGCCCGACCGTTTACTTTATTTAGCAGTATAAGAATGCAACCGGAATCGCAAAGGAATCACCATCGTGACACGCGTGTGAATCGAAGGAAAATTCCGATATCCATTTACTTACAAGCAAATCGTCGTATTTAGAGGGAAAAAAGAAAAAAAAAGAATTGTAAGAGAATTGTATGATACAAAATAGAATGGATATATAAAGTAAGTGAAGCTGTATCAAATGGATAATACAAGGTACATTACTTTCTTATGTCATTGCAGAAACCGCGGAGTCTATATAAGAAACTGTACGAGAGAGAGTGTGTGTGTGAGGCAAGTTAATCTAGACTTTTGTTCGATTCAAATTTTATGTACATCGCACACACGAGCGGGCGCTTTTTCCAATTTGTTGTATCCTCTAGAACTCGCGGAATTGAAAGTCACATACCTTCATTAGCGGAAGTTGTAATTTATGTTGTCCATTGTCACTATAAAATATTTTTTCTTCTTTTTTTTGAGATATACTGTACTGCTGATGTCAATACCTTACATTATCACGATTATATGTTTATTAAGCGTGTGAACACATTTGCAATTTTTTAAAAATATTTTTCACTTTGTGTGAGGACGAATCGCGAATGATAGCGCAAGGAAATCAATATAGGCAAAGGAGATCAGGAAACTTGGATATATGCACTGTCGTAAAATGTGTAACCGTTCAGGATACGCGAAAAATCCATGTCATTAATATTATAAACAAAAGATATATTTATATCGATTCAGTAGTATATAAACGAATTTTACTTTATTCATATCGGAAGATCTTTTTTTATTATCTTTTTTTCTTCAAAACCTTCAATAAACGCACAGGTAAATCGCCAAAGGAATGTACCTCTTAAACATTGAACGAGACACAAGCATTGGGAATTGACCAAGAGACATACTGTTATTTTTTAAGGAAATATTCAAAGTCCATTCTTGAATAACCGTAAAATAATATTTTTTATTTACTTTTATCTCTATTATCTTCTGGAAATAAAATATATCCATAATTGCGAATACACCCATTAATATTCATATTAAAAAGTTCGTTTAATTTTATTTTTTTTTTAATTCTGTAAATTTTAACCATCCATTTCTTAATGTTACCAAATATTATTTTTATTTTTTTTTTTATACTGCGCATTGTATTGTTTATGCCTTATTTGCTTCCTTGTATAAAAACACTTAATTCTAAAGCGATATTTACAAGAACATACTGCACCACGCCAGTATAAAACAAAATCCTCCGATCGGTGTTGTTGAACTGAATCGTCTATTATTGGTAAATGCAGTATAATAACAACTTCCGCAGAACAGTATGATTCCAGAGAGCATAAAAGTCGCAGCCTACAACACAAGTGCATGTGAAATTATGCGAGCTTCATACTTGACACAATTATTGCGGATTAATGATGACGTTCTACTTACCAAGGCTGGAAACTTGCATAACGGTAATCCCAGCAAGGCCAAAGTGTGTATAAAATGATATCGATTCGCTGTTTCAAAGATCCGACGTTGTTCCTGTCCTATCTCATCTTTAGAGTAATGTCCTGTAGAGCAGAGCATTCGATTAAAGTCGAGTCTCGTGTTTATACAGGTTTAAAATAATACATGTCATTTTTCTTTGTAATTCACTTACGGTGGGATCCAAGGGCGCCAAGGATCACAGCTGCTGCACCGCTGAGAGCTGCAAGCCTCACATACGGACCGCTAGCAGCAGCTAATTTCCATAAAGGTACTGGCGCTGCCATTTTCATCTCAATTTTCTGCTTTCCGCCTAAATATCTTGTCGCCTGACAGACCATAATTATTTCATATTATTTTTCATAAATATTTAAATGTTAATATTTATATAAATATAAATAGTATTAAGTTCTCTTATGTTCATAACTACTAGTCATTTAGCAAATAAACAATTATTACTGACAACTGTAGGCTGTTATTAAGTTTTTATCAATATTCTTTAATTAGTTTTCTGATAGAAGCACTATCATTACTAATACTTGGTAGCTATTTAAAAATAAATGTTTACGATTGCTTACGTAAATGCTTGTTAAAAAACCACACATGACATTGCAAAACATAAAAATGTAAAAAAAATTCATTATTCGTCAATGCTCGCACTGAAAAGACAACAATAATGAATTAAATAATTAATTGAGCAATTATCTAGATATTACAACTGCAATAAAAAAATAAATTTTTCATTGTAATCTTCATTGCTCGTAAAAAAAAACTGATAACTGTCATATGTGCGTGCGTGCGTGCGTGTATGTGTGTGTGTGTGTGCGCGTGCGTGTGTGTAAAAAGAGGAAAAGAAAAAATTTCTTATATTCATTTTTAATTTCTATCAATGTAGATAAACTTTGATCTTCGTTTAACCTATTTTTTATTCTTATTTAATTTTAAGACTCAGAAATAAATAAATAAATAAAATTAAGAAGAAATTAAATTACATTGGTATAATGGACATTAGAGCAATTACTTTCATCAAACTCCAATTAACTTAATAATGAATAAACTATTATTATTATTATTATTAGGCGTTAGGAACTCGAAAGCTCATTGCCGCAAATACCAAATAATGAATAAACTAGCAAAATTATTTATAGCGTAACTTCTAATAATGTATTGTGTTTAATTTAATCTTTTTCTTCATATGCAAATAATAAAAAAATTAATAATTCTATCCATAATATTAAATTATCAAAACAATTTAAGTATTGTTGATACATTCAACAAGTTAATCACTGATTAAGTTTCAGAGTGTAAATATAAACAAATATATATGTAGTGTTAAGAAAACATATGGAGGAGACATCACCTAGGAGAGGTAGGTTTAACAACAGATACAAGGTTTAAACTCGGCGTAGAATCTCTGTCATTTTGCAAGACTATGAGACTAGACATGCTACATTGCCATAAGCTTACCGACGTGGCTGCATCCCAAGCATACGAGGCGACCCCCGCACTCGTTTTGTGAATAACATTAAACGGCATAGTGACTGCTGTATACATAACGTCTTGGAAGCCCATTCCGAGCCGCGTACCACTGTACAGGAGCTAAATGTCAATTCACGTTCGTACATACATACATATATTGGATAACGGTGGTCCGGTGCGGCCGCATTCGCGACGACACTCGACGATTCCCGTTCCTCTCATCTATTGTCACCTTTTCTGCGAGCGTCAAGCAACCGAGCCATGCGATTAATCACGAGATACTTCTAACTTGAGTGAAATACAACTGCACTGTCAAATGCAAACGCACCGGATACCAAGCACATCTATTCGATTGTACTTATCACTTACCACTACTACTGACTGCTACTCGATTTCCAAGTTCCAAACTTCCAACTCGTAATCTACGCGCGAATTACTACCATTACCAGCAACAACAAACTGACAAATTGTCAGTTTGAACGAATCGACGAGGAATGCGCCATCTTGGATAAGCAAATTCATACGTCATCTGTTCTTTGCAGATGTATCGATTTAAGGTGCAATCACAATAGAGGAATAAGAAATTAGGAATAAGGAATAAGACTTTCAAGATAAGGCTATCAGATATTGGATACACTGGAATACACAGTTTCTGATAGGTTGGATTCCTTATTCCTTCTATTGTGACCCCACCATTACACCTTCTGATTACTTGAAATGTAAAAGAAACACAACTGTGCGTTGAAGAAAAAAAATGAAGGACGAAAAGTACAGGAAGTGCAATTATAAAGAATACTTCTTATTTGAACAATAAACAATTATAGTTTGTAGCTGATCTAGCTTTCTTTTTCTTTTGTCCTTTCGAGTAATCATTTTTTATCAAAGACAAAGATTTGATTAGAAACGTATTTTTAATATGCAAGGAACAATAAAAGCTGCCATAAGAGTCCAAAAATAAACATAAAACTCTATCACTAAATATTCCAAACATATCACTAATTTATATAATATTAAAGAAAGAAAATATATATTTACATTATTTTGTGATGTTGGGAATGTAGAATAATCTTCAACTCGTTACTTTCACAAATTTCACACTTAATGTTTGAATCTTTATTTATCTATTAATATAATTTATTATTAATTTTTAATGCACAATGTAATTTTACATAAAAATATGATAGAAAAATATCAATTGTCACAAAAAAAATGTTCTTGTACTAATGTGTGAGCACAAATTATATGTACTTATATAATGAATATTGTACAAAAAATAGATTAATTTATACATACATATATATGCATGTGTACACCCAGATAGCATGACATTGTCGTCATTTTGATATCAACAAAATCTTTTGACATCAAGTAAATAATCAAATAAATGGAAGTTCAAGGCAAACTGAAATTCCAAGACCCTCCACTTATATGGACATATTAATGACGATAAATGACGACAAACGTGTTGCTACCTGAATATGTAATTATACATAAAATAAATATAAAATAATATTAAACATTGCTAGTTTGCGATATTGTTCGATTTTCCAGTTGCATGTAAAATTGTTCTCCGAACCACTCTCTATGCATTTCCAAGTAACTGTAAACATATTGCATAATTAATGTATTTTTATCATGAAATTGTGACATTTAATCATAAAAAGTTTCCCTCACTGTAATTAGTACATACCTTAAAAACATATCTAAATATTTTAAAAGCACTTTCAATTTTTTACTGGATATATCTGTTGATTGTAATAACTCAGGTAATTTAACTGAAATTTAAAAATTCACATTATTTTTTATCATGCAAAGATTTTACAATTTTGCATGCTTCCGTAAAATAAAAGATAACTTACCAAATAATCTAGTTAAATGAATGGCACCGTAATAAGTGGAGGGACTTGGAATTTCGATTTGTCTTAAAGCTTGAGGCATTAACCTCCACTTATTCGACTGTTGAAGTAAACTGTTTACTTGAGCGGATGTAACAACAGGCGGCATTCTTAGCGTTACACCTCGCGGGCTAGAACAACGGGAACTTGTACTTGCTATGCTACTAAAACAAAACAATCATAAAAATATTATATCTAATTTTAAACAAAAGAAAAATTCAGAGAAAGCAATAATTCTTGTTACATCATGCAATTACAATTTTGATAAAAGAAAAGAGATATACTTCCAAAGATAAGTTGTTAAAAATAAAAAATAAATTAATAACTTATATAAAATTTCGGTAACAAGAAGTTTGAAATATATATATATATATATAAAATTCGATTATTACCTTGATAAATTACCACCATCCTGTTTTCCTTCGTCATAAGACCTTAATTGCCGGCTTTCATCTGCAGAGCTTACACGACACGACCGCAATCTTCGCTTAGAATTGTTTAAAGGTTTACATGAATTGTCCATTTCTGAATCATGTTCTTGAAAAGGAGGTAAATGAGCATATTCCGCATCCTCAATTTCTTCTTTTGTCGATATTTCTAAATTCCTTAATAACACAGACATTTATTTTATTAATATAAACGGCAAACCTTAATAAAACTCTTAATCTAATTATTATTGATGAAAAATGCAGTTACTCAATTAATTCCTCCTTTGGGATAATGGTCGTTTGTTCGTTGTTTGATAAGGAAGATTTCAGAGAATCATATTGTTCCTTTTCTTGCCTGTACAAGAGAAGATGAGGTAATGTGAAATCGAAATATATGCGTAAGCCATCCGCGACTTCTCTGCTTATATTCACTTCAATCACTGCTTTTTCTATTGTATTATTCGTTTTATTACGCTGGGGTTTTTCTGGAATATTCGTCAACTGTGTCGTAGCAAAATGCTGTACCCAGGATTCCAGAATATTTATCACAGTAGGTTGTGCAGGAAGTACAACAAGCTGAAATAAATATCGATAATATTTGCGTGGTAAGTTAGATCATTTAAATTAAAAGATTAGTCATAATAGAAATTATGATTATATAAATTTGTTTCGTATAAATTTAGATAAGAAAATAAGGTAAAACGATTATAATATATTTTAGATTTTAAAATATATTTTGCATTGTGACACTTTGCAATCTGTTCTATTAATCTAGAAATTATTTTCTAACTTACTTTATTTTTATTAGTTATCAGGTCATAATCTTGCTCTAAAATCCGTTTTAATGTGCTGCCTATGTCAAGATCAACTCCTGGTTTTATACTAGCTCCAGACTGGCTGCCACCGCCACTGTCTTCATCATCACTTGTTTCACCCATATAATCAGAACTACTTTCTGTATCTTCTTCTGTGTTTACTTCCTGTAAATTATATATACAATATAATTCCCATGGATCTTGCTTTATTACTTTTGCAGTCCTCGATTATTAATGAAATATATGATATGAAGTTTATATAAGTTTATATAAGTCTTTTGCATAGCGCGACAATGATATTACCTCACGACGTGACACCTAATACTTTTTTTTACCAATTAGCATAGATTTTTAAATTTCTGAGTTAGTTTTTTCTTCTATTATTACAGTATAAAATTTCTTAAGTACATATCTCATTAATTTTTTTTCATATTTGAAAAAGAAATTTGAAAAGGAGACATATACCTCTGTATCATAATCAGCATGTTGACCTGAACTACCATCCTCAGAAGATCCAGTCGTAGCCGATGTAGCTCGGCTACCACCGCTTCGTGCTCTACGACGAGGCTCTTGATGCTCTGTTTCAGTTAGACGTTCTGACATTTTGTGACTTCTCTTTTTACGTTCGCGGCGATATAAATAAGCACCGCTACTTCATTAAAAAAAATATGTTGATTCTTAATAAATCACATTAAATTTGTTTTGTAACAATTTTTTTAGAAATACATACATGTGAAGCTGTGCTTTATTTGCTAGATCTCGTTGAAGTTGACGATTCTCTTCAGTATCTTTAAGCACATATTCCTCTGTCACACAACGATCCCAAGATGAATTCCAACCCTTATATAATAATGAATTATATTTATATTTCCTTAAAATGCTTTAACACAATTCATACAATTAATTAATTTCAATCAAACTTTTTTAACTCACTTGGAAATGTATGAGGTATTCCACTGCTTTTTTACCCCTTTGATCTTTATTTACAATAACATCAAGCACCTGTAAATGATTTTATAAAATATCATTATAAAATATTAAAATAATTTTTTTTTTTATACTTGTTCTACGAACTTTTATACAATAAGGTATACTTATATCTATCTATATAAATCTCTGATGCAATTTTATAACCTTAAGTTACCTCTACTTTTGCAATATGTACTTCTTTCTTTGTAAAAGATAATGTTTTTCGTTAAGGCATTCAATTTGCATGTTACATTTATATTTACATATGTACAACAATACTTCTGTTAAACATGCAAATTAAATGCAAAGTATATGTATAGTACATATATCTAGCAATACATGGAAGTTACCTTCGAGTCATACAATACTTTTGCCTTCGTAGGATCTGGTTCATAACACAATACTTTTTCTCCGTCAGAAAATTTGAATTTTGGCCCTCGCGTTGACACCATCGTAAATTTTTAATGAAATGTAAGACGTAGGTATTTAAAATACATAAATTACCAGCATAACCTGTACAGCGATGGGCCAGAAATAAACAACATTTGTGTATTTGATAGTAATATTGATTTTTTTAGGTGACGTTACTTTAATCTTCACAAACTGTTCTGTTCGCAAACCTAATTAGTTTGTTTAATTCACTGTCACTTCTAAAAGCGTCACTTCCCGGCACGATTAGCGTTGTGTATCTTTCCCTCTCTGTCTGAAGTTAGCTGCTTCAGGCTCAGGAACGCCATAGGTAATTGTCATAAGCCCGTTTCACACTTACGCATTTGAGATCGAGGAATGCAAACTGAGAATATAGAATTCAGCCAATCAGTTAACCGTAATCTTCATCCGTTTTGCTTTGATTAAAAGAATGTATTATATGTATTTTTTTAACAAAGTGAATAAAATATGAAAAAATTACAGATTTTTCTATATATTATATGTATTTTAAATCCAAAAAATTTAGCGGCGATTCAGAATCTGGATAAAAAATTATTTCAATAAAAAGTAGACATGTTAAAAAAAAATAAAATAAAATGAAAAAATTTTAATTTAAACTAAAATGTAATACATTGTATTAAATATAAATATTGGCCTTAATGAACTGTTCACATATATCACAGTCAAAGTGTTAACTCAGTAAATATATACATTTGCTGTAATCAACGACGCGCTATCTGGGTACATTTACTCTACATGTAAATCGACTAGTAATATACATTTATTACACAGTAAATGTGTGTATACATTAACTTAATAAGGATAATATACATTTATTAAAATTAACACTTTGACTGTGACTTTTCGGAAATACAGAAAATAAAGAAAAAAAAAAAAGAAAAAAAATTAGAAATACAAAATTTTAATTCTTCTATTCTGAAGTGCTATTCTCTCTTTAAATTCTTCTGCATTTTTTACTATTTACATTACGA